AAACACACAAAACAGTCAACTCTCCATCATGAATGACAACAAAATTTATTTTAAGAACAACAATATAACAACTACATTTTTATTGACTACAATGATAATTCTAGCATACAATTCAATTTGCAGTTACTGATCAACTCAATTGACATTTATATAATAAACTTGACGTACACTATATAATAAAGATTAATTTCACTATTTTCCCACTAAGCTTTCCGCTGTCTACAATGATCAGGATTATGGTCTAAGTCTTGCATAATATATAATAAGCACAGCTTACGTATCAGAAAGTATAAAGTGTGGTAAACAATACCTTTCTCAGTTTCTAAAAGCCTGAGGCAGTATACTCTACAATCAGAGAATTTAAAAATTGCATTTGTGTTTTTGATGGTAGACTTAAATTGAGCAGCCTGCATGTTTTCACTTCAGTTTCTCATTAAATCCATTTTGCTACCTGCTATTTACCAAAACAATCATATATTCTAGTTCCATTTCTTTTAAAACTTGTCAATGAAAAAACTGTAATAATATTTTTCTTTTGCTAACACTCATATGACCGGTCATATCTTTTGTTAAGGGCACTTGATTTAGCTTCTTTACTGAATAACATAAAACCAAAAAAACTGTTTAGCATGGTCCCAAAGCGGGGGTTTTGGAATCCTCAGGGGATTGAAGCCTTGAGCCCAAGACTTCGCGCTCTTCTGGGAGCCTAGGACAAAGTGTCGATCCTCGTGGAATATTGTGGCAATGCAGTTTGAAGGAGCTTTGTTTTTCCTTTTTTTCTTATTTATTTATTTATTTTATTTTTTCTGCTTGTCTTTTTTTAAGACCTAAACCTCTGTTAGACACTGACTTGGAAAAAACTGAGGCAGAGTTTTCCACTAAAAGAATACGGGTTGTAAAAGTGTATCCGACGAGACTTCAGGTTCAAAGTTATAGATAAGCGTAATGAATTACTCAAGTATCTGAAGCCGGTTGTTAACGATATCAGTCACAACTATTCTACCATCACTAAGAAATGCAGCAGAAATTGGTCCACTTAACTGTCCTATCTCGCTGCCGTACGTCCCAAACTTTGCAAAGAATTTCCCATTCAGCTCAAGAATTTGGATTCTGTGATTGTTTCTGTCACAGACCAGAAGTTGCCCTGCCTCGGTAACTGATAAGCAACGAAGATCGTGGAAATTCCCGTCCCCTTCCCCCTCCTTTCCAAATGTGTACAGAAAATTTCCATTGTTATCGAAAACTTTTATACAATTTTCATCACATTCCGAAATTATAAGATATTTGTCATGTTGAACACACTGAAGGGGAAACGAGAAAATACCATGTCCGCCGATTTTGCGTAAAAACTTACCACTGGAGGAAAATATCTTGACAAGATAGTTATAACTGTCAGCAACAATGAAGTTTCCGTCCTTGTCCAAACTCAGACCATGGGGATAGGTTAACTGGTGATCCAGAGTACCTAAGCCACCGAAGTGNATTTGTCATGTTGAACACAGTGAAAGGGAAACCACAAAATACCATGTCCGCCAATTTTGCGTAAAAACTTACCACTGGGGGAAAATATCTTGACAAGATAGTGATGACTGTCAGCAACAATAAAGTTTCCGTCCTTGTCCAAACTCAGACCATAGGGAAAGGTTAACTGGTGATCCAGAGTTCCTAAGCCACCGAAGTGGCTTAAGTACTCACCATGCTCGCTGAACATTTGAACACGGTGGTTACAAGAGTCCACCACTATAATGTTACCGTTTTTATCAAAAGCTACCCCACAAGGGGTGTTAAATTCCCCCAGCTCACCCCCCTCTCTACCAAAAGATCTTAAATAGGTACCATCACTACTAAAGATCTGGACCCTGTGGTTATCAATGTCAGTTACTGCTATCTCGTCTCGATGATTTACTGCTACCCCCCAAGGGCCATTAAACATTCCAACAGACACACCCTCTTGTCCAAATGATGACACGGCTCTGAGCTGACGTCTGGTTTTGACTTGAATCACAAACGGGCTGCCACGAACATCTTCGCCATTTACTTTCACTGATGCTTCGCATTCTCCGGTTTCTTTTG